AAGTAAAATAAAAGAACGGTGTAGGCCTCCTTCAGTTTTTGCCATCTCTTTCGAGGTTGAGCAATTTATATCCATTTCGTCCCTCCTGTTCGTTTGATGCCATCGTACCAATGCATCTGTTGTCTTTCTTGAGGACGTTTTTCGCCCCGTGGTCTCCATTCTATCACCGCTTTACACCACGAATCCTGTTCGCGGGCAACGCGGAAAATTGACAAGACCAAAGTATATTCTGAAACTGCGTAAAATCACCTATATAGGGTTGATAGCTGCATATCAAATAATTTTGGTGAGTAATCTGTCAAAGCCAATGACACATTTTTTTCAATTGGACCAGAAAGGCACATTTGAACGTCAAAGTAAAATATTAAAGATATCCGTTTATTGGTCAGTCCTCTTGAAGCTATTTGGTCATTCCAAGGTACAGATAAATCTACTGTTATATCTTTCGAGGATATAATGGTGCCAATTAAAGTCCGTTAATTACAAACATACGTTTATTACAATTTTTTAATGTTACACGGTCGGTGGGGTACGGGTAAGTGAACGATGACGACTGATTTCTATTTAATGTAATATGCGCCTGTACAAAACATAATAGCAGCAATACCGAACGCATTTTATTTGCATTATATTTCTTGAAGGCGTTTAAGCCTGAACATCTACTGCTTACAAGTAAGAGATCTCGATTAAACTCCTTACTAGTAAAAGCTCTTACTGCCTCGTTGGCCGAGTGGTCGCAAGTGCGGCTGCTGGATAAGGGGTTTTGGATTCGATTTAAAAATTCTCAGCAGTAGCACGGAGCCTGGACTTGTGTCCGGTATATGGCAATAGGCTCACCCCCTATTACATCGGACTCATAACATAAACAGTTAAAAGTGGGTGTTGCATTGTACAGTGGCATTAAGTGCCGTAATCTACACTTACTCCTTCGGGGATAAAAGGCGTGCTGGTATGTTGTCCCCCTGTACGACGGTGAATGTCTTACAGGTGATGATGGTACACCTCTGCCTTCATCTTCAGGATAGAGAACCGATAAGGTTATAAAATCAATACATAGTATAAAACAAAGTCGCTTTCGCTGTATGTCCGTATGTATGCTTAGATCTTTAAAACTACGCAACGGATTTTGATGCGGTTTTTTTTAATAGATAGAGTGATTCTTAAGGAAGGTTTGCATGTATATACATATTGCACCCGTGCGAAGCCGGGGCGGGTCGCTAGTTTAACAATAAAGTAAATACCACTTCAATAAATGAACGCAACTATAAAAGTTGTATAACGCTTTTGTTTCACGTGTCACGCTCACAATCTGCTAAGCCAGCAATCCTGAGATTAAATTCTTCGTATCCGGGTCGCTACTAGCTATATAAAAACTTAGGAGTGACAGGGATTTCGTACTATTTGTCGCTGTCGAGATATCTTCGAGTAATTGTCGAGTATACAAATCAAATATGCATGATTATCCATACATACCATCACGCCTTTTATTCCTGAAGGGGTAGGCAGAGGTGCACATTATGCCACTGTACAATGTAATACCCACTTTTCACTATTTATGTTATGAGTCCCATGTACCTAATAGGGTGTGAGCTTATTGACATATACCGGGTGAGTACATTTCCAGACTCCGTGCTACTACTGAGATTTTTTTTTAAACCGAGTAATACTTTGCCCGACCCGGGAATCGAACCCGAGACCCCTTGCCCGGCAGTCGCACTTGCGACCACTCGGCCAACGAGGCAGACGCAATGATTATCCACTGTTGAACTATTAGCCCCCTCTACAAAAGAATGCCTCTTCCAACGACATTAAAAATGGTGGACACAGTCTCTTGAAACAACAACTGTAGCATCTGGTTACTCTAGACTTACAAAAACGTACACACATTGTCACGAAGGACATCTGTCATCTTCTTAAATCTGGTAACGTGTAGGTACAATTTTCGTGCTTCAATCATTTCTAGGTGACACTACGTTCACCATTTTTCAACATCCTTGGCCTCTTCTATAAAAAAGGATTCATTATAATCTCCATAGACATAATACAGTCTGTGCTTGACAAGCGGGATGGAGATAGCAGTTGAAACAAAATAGGTTTATCAGATAGCGCTACTGAGTCGCCTGTATTAAATTATGCAAGTCCCTTAGTCAGATCTATTCACGAGTGTAGCATTATTTTGTACTTCGCTTATGCTTGCTTTAAAAATTGTATTCCTATCAAACGGTAACTCATCGAAGTTTTGTCCAAAGTGATTCGACTTCGTGATCCCACAGTAGGGGTGAATTCAGTATGTCACAGAGTAATTGATGTTCTGTCGCAGTCCCCTGCTCTGTGAAGCAGCAGATATTGCGATAAGCTCCTCAAGATTGTAAATATTTTAATGGGGTGCCATTTGATCAATTTGATTTATATATTTTTTCTTTTTAGTAAAGAGAATTGCTCGTTTATAGGTCAAGAGTGTTGTGAAAACGTATTCATGAATAAAAAAAGGATCGTATTCAAGTTTGTTGTTATCCTTTTCCAAAAGATAATCGTCTGTAAATGGTTCCTTTTTTATAGACTAGGAGGCAAACGAGCGGACGACCGGATCATCTGATGGTAAGCGACATTGGACACCCTCTTTCGTCAGTTGAACCAATCAAGATATATTACATAACCAAGATAATAGTAATAAGTATAAAATAAACAGTAACCCAATGACTGCCTCGTTGTCCGAGTGGTCACAAGTGCGGCTGTCGGGCAAGGGGTCTCGGGTTCGATTCCCGGGTCAGGCAAAGTATTACAGGGTATTTTTTTCCAAAAATCTCAGTATTAGCATCCGTGCTACTAAAGGCGTGATATTATGTTATGTAACTCAATGAAATAGTTAGATTTCTGCCACTTAGAGATAGACAGCACAAATACGAAAATGATTCGATAAAATAACTTAAATCCCTGTCAAAAATTAACTAAAATGAGCCCTTCAAATCCTGAATCTCAGTTTTAGCGCCGGTTTCACCATCTCTGTACATATAAGTTCCTGATAAACTTATGTGACAGATAGTTCATACAAATTACGTTCTTGATCCAAATTTATCTGGTAGATAACGGCTATCCAGATATTGTGAAACAGGCCCTTATTCTCACTAAAATCTCCAACCAAACGAATCTTTTTAAAAACCAAACTACCTAACACCTCTATATAAAAATAAGAATGCTAGATACCGTAGCATTTCTCCCTTGACGGTGGTAATTAGCAAATTGTAGCCTCGTAACTTATTATCAAGTTACGTCAGTACTCCGGCCCGTCTAGCGGCAATTTGTGGGAATTATATCGCACTAGTTGAAGTTTGCGGTTGTGCTTGGGATTTATTGGAATAAAAAGTGTGTAAAGATTTGAAGTATCAGTCTCGTAGGCTAACTACTCACGGTGCGTTTTTTTTCCCGCGCCCGACCGACGTAGAATACTTATGTGCTTCTCCATTGGAATCTACACCTTGGAATGAGCAAATAGCTACACTTGTTAATTTTCTTTATTGACGTTCAAAAGTGCCTCTCTGGTCTAATTGAAATAAATAATTTTGACTTTGACTTTGACTTTGATATGTTTGTATGTAAAATAAATCAAAGCAAAGTTTCACGACGCGATTTACGTCCGCGACGGTAGCGATTGTTTGCGGCTGTCGCTGCACCGGAGAGCGCGGCCGCGGAGGCTAGCACCCACGCGCTCTGCGATTGCAATGGGATGGACGGCCGGTCTGGAACTCAATCGATTGTTTAACCGCCCACCCGTCTTGCTATAATCAACCGCCAAGTTCGCGGGCGATTATCGCAGAAAGGTGTGGTCTCCTGAGTTTTGAAAAATCAGTCTTCATTCCGCCACCGCGGTAGGCGCGGGAGAAGATCGCGCCGTGAGTCCTAAGCCTTACAGCCTTGTCGCGGAGAACCTTACGGGTAACCGGGGTTCCGGATCGACATGCAGGAGAAGGAACGGGGTGGTTTTTAGTCAGTAAGAGTCTGACACTCCCTCCCGCCTCGCCCAAGCGGGAGCAGGCATTCGATGATTTTCCCACCTTTAAAAAAAAAGAAAAGCCTTACAGCCTATTTTTGGACTCTAAGGCTAAAGACTCACTTGCTACCCGTATACGATCATAGAAAGAGTAGTTCAAGAAAAAACAAAATAAACAAACAAAACGATCTTCAACAACAATAAACCGAACTCAAAATACTCGTAAGCTTTTTGAGTAACGTGATTGCTAATGCAATTGTCGAAAATTGTTAGTGGTGTGCGAACAAACTCAATTTTCGGGTTTTATAATGCCCTAATTGGTTTCGTGTGACGTTAATAAGGATCCCGGCACCACTGACGGCCGCTTTCCTAATCATTTTCTGTGTAATTTGACGTTTCGAGAACATTTTTTTGTTTAGATAATGGATGGTATTTTTATTTTTTTTAATGTTTTTTTTTTATGTAGGGTTTATGGTTATGAATTGTTTTGTGGAAAGTATTTGGTATATTTTCTTTTTTTTATTGGCATAAGCCGATAAACGAGTAGACGGATCACCTGATGGTAAGCAATCAGCGTCGCCCATGGACACCTGGAACACCAGAGGTGTTACAAGTGCGTTACCGGTTTTTTGGGGATTAGGAGTTTGAGAATCGTTGGGGTTCAGAAATTGGGGAGATTGGGGAAGAGGAGGGTAATTGAGCCTCCGGTAACCTCACTCACACGACGAATCACAACGCAAGCGTTGCTTCACGTCGGTTTTATGCTCGGCCGTGGTATCACTCCGGTCGAGCCGGCCCATTCGTGCCGAAGCATGGCTTTCCCACACTTAAAACCACACTCTCCGACGATATTATACTCTAAGATTAATGAGTAGCATATGATATGGTCTTATTATCATCAGGAATTTAATTAGGGCATACAAATTGAATTTTAGCAGGTTTGTAACCAGTTGTTAAGTGCAAGAACGAGTCTTAATCGAGCAGGGACAAAAATACAAAAAAAAAAAACATATTATTTTATGCTTATTTTATTTTATAGCTTTGGTGAATATTTACAGTAATATTTACACATCAACGGAATTTACAAACATAATGAAATTTAAATTAAATGAAGTATTATGGCACGAAAATTGAACTTTAAACATAATAGATGACAAGAGGTAAGTTATTTTGAACAAATGCTAATATTTACAAATGATATAAGAATGATTTGATACTTTAGAAATCATGTTCTATAGCGCCATGGATTTGCACGTCAGGTTTGTGATGTCCAAACTCCTTCTGGAAACTTCCTCCAGTGACAAACCTGGTGTTCTTATCCAGTTTCCATACTCCATCACCATTGAGGGACATCTGTAATAAGAAGATGCTTGATTTACGTTCTTATTTTGTGTAGTCTATTGGTTAAAAGCCCCTAAAACAAAATTGAATAAAAAAAGTATTTGGTTACTCTTCTACTACTACTTCAGTACTTTAGTTCAGTATAGGCCAGAAATGTATAAGGAAGTCAGCATCATTACAATAGACCGTGCTGCATTGCTCAAAGGTTCTTACAAAATACTAGAAAAAGATCCCAAATCATAGCTTTTTATATTAAAACGTTGCATCACCAAATACTAAACACACAACATACATACATACATAACTTCACGCCTGTCTCCCATGGCGGTAGGCAGAGACTAAGGAACGCCAATTACTACGTTTCTTACATACCTCTTTCGCTTCATTAACAGTCATCAATCTTTTCATGCATGCTCGTCGGTTAAGGGTACTTTTAATTTGGCCCTTCTTTAATATATCGCCAATCTGGTCACTATATGTCCGTCTAGGGCGCCCTCTACCGACGGCCCCATTCATATCCGCTCTGTATACTTCCTTCGTTACTCTACTTTCATCCATCCTTTCTACATGTCCAAACTAAACACACAAACACACACATAATTCTACTTACACCACTTCCACCTCCAATTTGCTTGTGGACATCCAGAGCAGCTCTGGCGTGGTCATTAGACCAGTGCAGTTGTCCACCGAGGTTGCTGCTGTCTCCGTTAGCACCGAGCACTCGAGAGCCATAAGCTTGGCCTTGAAGATGTCCACGGTGATCGTTGAAAATATCTTGCTTATAACCTCCGCGGCCCTGTGGATAAATACAAGTATTTAGTTTATGTACTTAACTAGCTGTTGCCCGCGACTTCGTCCGCGTAGAATAATGACTTCTGGCAGAATTTAGGCTTTTGAATTAGTTTTTATCAAGGGATATTCTAGGGTAATGGATGTCGTCAGAATTGATTCAGTCCCGTAGATGATAGCGTGATAATATGTAGCCTATATGTTTACCAGACTTGTTAGTAATATTCATGCAAAATTTGAAATAGTAGTGCAGTACTTTTTGAGATCATCACGGCCATACATACAGACAAACAGACAAAAATTCTAAAAACCACATTATTGGCTTCGGTATCGATTAGAGACCACGCTTCAAATATTCTTTTAAAAAATATTCAATGTACAGTTTTGACTTTTCTACGATTTATTATATGTGTACGATTTATTAGATTAATGACTTCTGACAGAATTAACCAGAATCAATTCAGTGCCCAAGTAAGATTTACCTATTTTGAAATGATTTATCGTAGTTTCAATAAATAAATAATCCCGCAGGGATCTTACCAGTACAGTGCCCGATCACGTAAGGTTTGAGTAATAAAAACTATTCTATCGACTATTGTTGTACCGAATCTCTCTAGAATAAGTTCAGTGGTTAAGAGTTAGAGAGTCCTGGGGCATTGACGCATAGTTCCCGTTCTCGTGAGACATCTGTGAAAAAACTATCATACGTTACCCAGGTCCCAAATCATCGTTTTACCGAATGTAATTCAAAAAGATTCAATGATTCTAAATTCAACGGCTAAGAAGATTTATACAAACTCTCATTCCCTATTTTATCCCCTTAGGGGTGGAATTTATCAAAATCCTTTCTAAAGAGATACCTATGTCATAGTAACTTCATGCATGCAAAGTCTCAGCCCGATCAATTTAAAACTGGCAAAGTATCATACTTTGGGGTGAGAATGTTCAAAAACCTTTCTAAAGGGACGTTTACGTCATAATATCCATCTGCACGCCGAATTTCAACCCGATCGGTGTAAAACTGACAAAGCCTCACACAAACGTTCATCCCCTATTTTACCCCCTTGGTGGAAATTATCAAAATCCTTTCAAAGCGGATGCTTACGTCATAACATCTATCTGCATGCCAAATTTCAACCTGATCGGTTTAAAACTGACAAAGGCTCATATAAACTTTCATCCCCTATTTTACCCACTTGGGGGTGGAAATTATCAAAATCCTTTCACAGCGGACGCCTACGTCGTAACATCTATCTGCATGCCAAATTACAACCCGATCGGTTTAAAACTGACAAAGGCTCATATAAACTTTCATCCCCTATTTTACCCACTTGGGGGTGGAAATTATCAAAATCCTTTCACAGCGGATGCTTACGTCATAACATCTATCTGCATGCCAAATTACAACCCGATCGGTTTAAAACTGACAAAGTCTCATACAAACTTTCATCCCCTATTTTACCCCCATTGGGGGTGGAAATTATCAAAATCCTTTCACATCGGATGCTTACGTCATAACATCTATCTGCATGCCAAATTACAACCCGATCGGTTTAAAACTGACAAAGTCTCATACAAACTTTCATCCCCTATTTTACCCCCATTGGGGGTGGAAATTATCAAAATCCTTTCACATCGGATGCTTACGTCATAACATCTATCTGCATGCCAAATTACAACCCGATCGGTTTAAAACTGACAAAGTCTCATACAAACTTTCATCCCCTATTTTACCCCCATTGGGGGTGGAAATTATCAAAATCCTTTCACATCGGATGCTTACGTCATAACATCTATCTGCATGCCAAATTACAACCCGATCGGTTTAAAACTGACAAAGTCTCATACAAACTTTCATCCCCTATTTTACCCCCATTGGGGGTGGAAATTATCAAAATCCTTTCACATCGGATGCTTACGTCATAACATCTATCTGCATGCCAAATTACAACCCGATCGGTTTAAAACTGACAAAGTCTCATACAAACTTTCATCCCCTATTTTACCCCCATTGGGGGTGGAAATTATCAAAATCCTTTCACATCGGATGCTTACGTCATAACATCTATCTGCATGCCAAATTACAACCCGATCGGTTTAAAACTGACAAAGTCTCATACAAACTTTCATCCCCTTTTTTACCCCCTTGGGGGTGGAAATTATCAAAATCCTTTCTTAGCGAATGCCTACGTCATAACATCTATCTGTATGCCAAATTTTAGCCCAATCTGTCCAGCGGTTTGGGCTGTGCGTTGATAGATCACTATGTCAGTCAGTCAATCAGTCAGTCAGTCAATCACCTTTGAATTTTATATATATAGATGTTACAGTATTAATACAATTATATTGAGATAGTCTGTCGTGGTCACCGGTAGGCTTAGGATGACCGCTTCTTATACATTGAGAGAGCGCGTTTAAAACCTATGAACAGTAAGTACCAATGTGACATTTCCAAGTTATATGTACTTTCTAAGATTATTTAGACACCACTGACAAATGGTGAAGGAAAATATTGTGAGGAAACCTGGGCTTATAATTTCTAATTATACCTAAGTTTGAAATCGTCAACCTGCGTTGATCAAGCAGGGTTATAAATGCTCAAACCTTCTATGTGTGAGAAGAGGCCTTTGGTCAGTAGTGGACACTTATAGGCTGTAGATGTAAAGTATAAGGTTAGAAACCACGCCTTTTTTGATGCCAACAGAATATACATTTTATTCCATTTTCCGCCATCTATATTATGAATCCGAAAACATTTGTAAGCAAAACTTTTTCAAGGGTTAATGTTCTGTCTAAGTCTGTTTAGACACCATTTACATAACTTGATAAGTTCAAATTATAGGTTTGAAATCGCCAATCTATTGCAATTACTGTGATTAATACCCACTCCTTCTTCAAGTGAGAAGAGGTTGCCCTACTGTGAGGAATCTACAGGCTGATGATAATGAAGATACTTACGAATAAAGAATCGTCCGTGCTGCCCAAAGTACCGAAGATCTGGCCTCTTCCAGCGTTGCGGTGCCATGTCAGATCCCTTGGCTGACGTACTGACTTGGAGTACGGGTTAAAATCTGGGTGGGTTTCCAGATAACCGGGTGGAATGTACACCTTGGCGTAGGTGCAAGCTACTAAAGCAGCGAAGCAGAGAACGATGGCGGACTGCATTTTGATCTGAAATTAACAAACAGATTATAGGTTACAGTTGAGTCAAGTCAAAGCATATATTTCCTTTAAATCATAATTTGGTACTTCTGAAACGTTAACAAGTACAAAATAAATAATGGTCTATTAGTCAGTCCGTCAGTGAAGCTAGGTGAACCTGGCTGTTCAGTCCAAAATGTAGATTCGAATGTAGAAGAATGAGCCAGTTATGAAACTATATATATACAGATAACAACCAATAGTGGAGCATAAAAAGCTACTACAAAATTAGCATACAAAATAATCTTGCGCTAGCTATATCTAACGCCATCTAGTATGTTTAACGCGTACTATTTCAAATTATGGCGGTTACACTCGATTTTATTCTTATCACTTGCTAAATAAACAACATTTGTAATATTAAAATTATATACAGTTACGAAATATTAAAGTCCATTACGAAATATTAAACTTCTAATATCCAATGTCAGACAAAATTTCAAGATTTATTGACCCACCTAATTATCAACATTCGTTACATTTACAGAAGTATTAAATTGAATAAAAACTTACTTGTTTTAGAAGCTAGGTAGTTATTCTCACAAGGTAACGTAAGGAACTGTGCCTTCAAGCATCCAGACCCGATTATTTATACTCGTCTTAGTATCTGAGGTGAAATCCCGAAGCCGAAGATACCGGGGAATCTTTTTGAAATGATGCGTCATACATACTATTCATTGTTATTACAATCTTTGTTAAATAAGAGGATAAAAAGTGTTCGTTTATTTATTTTCAAATTATTATAATTGACATAATAAATTCAAATAGGTATGTTTCGGGAATGTTATTCCCCGATCGCAGGAGGCCGTTTGAAAGATGATCGGTTCAAACCAACTGATGTAGAAGTGATTCGAGGAGATGTATTCGACGTTTTGTATGAAGAAGAAGTTTTTAATGATAATGATGATGATTCCCCAATTCCAATATACCATAAAAGGGATGATGACAGGGTATGAAAATTAAAAATCTAATTAGTCCGTAAGTTAGGTAATGAAACAATATTAGACACGTATTTTTTAATTTGTCGTATACTAAAACAATACTTAGATAAAACGAATCAAATTTTAGGAGTGGGGGCTAAAACGTCATTTCTACGTACCTATAAAATGTTCATAGAAGTGACGTCACGCGACATTTCAAATCAATATATCGTCTAAAGTATTCGTTGCTGTAAGAAAATAAAAATTTTGTGACTAATGATTTAAAATAATCTACCAGATGGACAATAAGACGTGATATTAATAATCTGGTTCAAAAGGCGTGTAATTATTAATTTACTGGATGACTTGTGTAATAATGTGTTGTACCTACATTGTAAAGAGAAAAAATATTCTGAGTATTATAATATTGTAATTCAAAGACTTAATATTATATAGGTGCGTTGCCTGCATAGTCGTTTTTGTTTTATGTATCTTGTAAACTAACCGTGTCTGTTTTATAATGACTGTATTTTTTTATAGCATAAGCCGGTAAACGAGCAGACGAATCATCTGGTGGTAAGCGATCGGCGCCGCTCATCGACACCCATTGCTGATAGAGGCTCTGTTTTTTTTCTTTGCTTATGTTGGTTCTGTAAAGATGTTGCGTTTAAATAAATATCGTGATTTAGGTGTAAGAATCCTGACAAGTGAGACAACAACACAAATCAAATCTGAAAATCTATACTAATATTATAAAGAGGAAAGATTTGTACCTATTTTTGTATGTTTGTAATGAATAGGCTCAAAAAGTACTGGGCGGATTTAAAAAATTCTTTCACCAATAGAATGCTACATTCTTCCAATTTGACATAGGTTATATTTCATTTTGAAAAAAAATAGGTATCCTTGGTAAAATTTGAACAATGTAACCGAAGGTGTAGAAAAATGAGTCTTAAAATGTCTTTCGTCGAATGCGCTGCCGAAACTATTAGCGGTAGAACAAAATAATGTACAACAATATTGAAGAACATCATAATGTCTACAAAAAACTCCGCGGTAGCATATGTCCAACTATTGTAGTTATGTTTCTACAACAATACAAATTTCCAAAAATAAATAATTGTCTACCCCGTGCGAAGCCGGGACGGGCTGCTAGTCTAGTCTAGATATAAACTAAGAAAAACACTAAGACCTCAAGGGCTTCGTTCGACTATCACCCCATGTCCTCAAGGGTGTCCCATAAAACAACGATAAAGACAGACATTATCTTTTTGTTAGCAATACAACATTAAATGTTATGATGCAATTTATTGCCTCTTTACACGATAAATATTGCTTCAGTTTTATGGGTAAATAATACCCGGTTTTCTAGTCCAATCAGCATTATAAGTTACAGTATTGTTTTAAGTCAAAGACAAGGGATTTATTTCTTTTCGGTATTTACTATTTTCTGTGGTTCGCATGTTGTATTTTTTCTAGTACTATAACTTTAACTTTGTACACAAACTATGTTTTGTAATCGTGCGTTAACTTTTGTCAAGTTGACATGATTATAATCTTAGGTATATACATATACATGACTTTTTTATGGGGGGGAAAATCATCGAATGACTGCTCCCGCCTGTGTGAGGCGGGAGGGAGTGTCAGACTCTTACTGACTAAAAACCACCCCGTTCCTTCTCCTGCACGTCGAGCCGGAGCCCCGGTGACCCGTTAGGTTCTCCGCGACACATATACATGACCTCATTGGCCGAATGGTTGCAAGTGCGAGTGCCAGGCAAGCGGTCTTGGACTGGATTCTTATATTATTTTAAGAAGCAACAATGGAGTTTCTTGCTCGTTCTTCTTCATACGAAACTACACTTTGGAACGAGCTCCTAGCTCCACTGACACAGACGGACGGACAATTCAATTAAATTTTTGACGTTACAAAAGTACCTAATTAAGGATTAGTAGAAATAAATGCCAATTTGACTTTGACTTTGACTTTCTTGAAACAGTTCGCGTATTTATCACCTAAACTTAAGACACATTTTCCAAAACATAATCGTATATTAACATAATTATATAGCAATGAATAATTTTAATTTCTCTCATTAATTACTCATAATTTTATTATGATAAAAGGAGCGACATTTCGCAGAGATCCATTATAGAAATTAAGTAAAATTTTTGCCTTTTTAGAATATTCTTTTTTATGATTAATTTTAATGTTTTGTTTTTTCTTTCCTTATTATTTATAGTTAAGTATATTTTCGTTCTGTTTATTAGGAAAGTAGCTTTATTAAGTAGTAGCTTGTACCCGCGGCTTCGCTCGCGTCACAAAAGACACGCGACATATACCAATACACACAGCGCCATCTATACCAATACTTTTGTTTTTCCTCGGGAATATCAAATTTTTCCGGGATAAAAAGTGCCCTATTATTTAATTTGGACTTCTAACTTTACGTCTGCAAAAATTGAAAGCAATCAGTTTAGTAGTTACGGCGTGAAAGTGGAACGAACAAACAAACCCACTTTCAGATTTAAAATATTATAGTAAGGATTCATTAATACTTGACGTAAGACTGAGGGAGGATAAATATATTAACTCGTCGAGTACCGTCATTATAGACACAATTATAGAACAATAGGTTGCGGTCACCGGTGACCGCTTGGTGTTTGACAGTTTAAGGCATTAAAGTATTTGTTACTTTTCTTAAAACAGTAGCCACGTGGAAGTACCATACGCTACGATTGGCACGGCTCGACCGGTGTGATACCACGACCTCACAGAAAAACCGGCGTGAAACAACGCTTGTGCTGATTTTAGCCATGTAAGCTAGGTAACCGGAGGGAGGCCCAACCTTCCCCTTTTTCTTAAATAGTCACTATATGAATAACAATAATTGCTGGTCCACAGCAATCCTCAAATTCCTAATTCCCAAAAGGCCTCAAACTCCAAATCCCTGAATCCCAAATAATTTCTTAAATTTCTAATCCCTCAAAGGCCTCTGGTGTTTCAAGTGTCCACAGCAACGCCGATTACTTACCATCAGGTGATTCGTCAGCTCGCTTACCGGCTTACCCCATAAAAAACCCTCAAATTGGAAGTAGCCAATTTTAACTTTAAACTGACATCGAACTACATTATACTCTTAACAGAATTCTATCCACTTTTCAAACCAAGTAAGTTACCTACTTACTCAAGTCTTATATAGAATTTTAAAATCTTAAAAGATGTATTGACTTTCTAAGTTCGTGTTTCTAAATGGACGTCTTCACTTAAATTGAAAAGCGCTGAAAAATGGCTGAAACTGAGAACGCAATCGACTTAGTGAAGCGATATGTTTTGTGAAGAGAATTTTTAGGATGAAATTGTTTCTAATATCTTTCGGAATTAGAGGGAAATTATATGTTTATTAATTAATTATTATTTATTCGGCTTACTCACGTACCTACCTAACTGTTTGAAGAGGAACTCGACTAGTTTCAAGCCATGCTAGTTACTGCTAGCAACATTTAGTAGGTATTGCAGGTATCTATGAACGATGCTGATCACACTGAGTCACCTCTGAGACACCTCTCAGAAACAAAATCACCATATTTGACAACTTTCTCATAGTGTTATTCGTCGTCTGTCACATACAAAAACTAGATTCTTATAGCTGTATTTTTTTTTAAGAGGGGAAAATCATCGAATGACTGCTCCCGCCTGGGTGAGGCGGGAGGGAGTGTCAGACTCTTACTGACTAAAAACCACCCCGTTCCTTCTCCTGCACGTCGAGTCGGAGCCCCGGTTACCCGTTAGGTTCTCCGCGACTCTTATAGCTGTATAGCATATTCCTAAACCTACATTTAAAAGCCATTATGCAAAAAACACTAAAAGTGAATTAAAAAAACTATGTTTTATAATAAAACAGCACAAGTTGAGAGTAAGCAGACAGTGATAGTTAAGTGCTTAATGTATCCGTGGAGAGGCAGTCGCCGCGCTTGGAAATTGAAATTGTTTAAGGTGCTGTTTCTTTAGAGCGATTTCTTTTAATCCATATCATGATTTCTCCTTGTTTCTGGCTTCAAAAAACTTGTATTGTGTTTGTCGGTGTTATTTGTCAATAATGTATATCTATGAGACATATTGTGTGTGTAGAACTAATAAAAATTGTGAACATGAATGTGGCATAACTCCTAAGATGTTATGTTAAGATGACAGGTGATAGATGGTCTATGCTTTCGAATCTGCGGCTGTAGCCAAATGCCATTTAGCGCTTGTCTACATGTACAATAGAAAACCAAATTATATGGAATTGACGTAAATTTTGACACTTGTCAGTGTCATCCCCATACATTTTGATTTCTACTCTCTCTGTAGACAAGCGCTAAAGTGGAGTTTGGCTAGAGGCCCTGATATTTAAAATTCAATGACACGAAAAAATGGTAAATAGCGGAAAAATATAGTTGTCTAAACAAATTCATAATAAGAATTCAGGTTTTAGTTCTGGCTTCACATCTTCATTTCGCATAATCATGTTTTTATGAAGAATTTCTATCTAGACAGAGGGTCGGCTTGCGAGGGATTTGGAGAAACAACACAACACCACTTTTACTTTCACTTTTTATTCTCTTCCTTTATACACTTCTTCCCGCTAGGGGCGCTGGTTGTACTCGCTAACGTCAGGTTT